TTTTTTTAAAGTATGCTAAAGTGTACTTCTTTTTCACAAAGAAAGTTATAGACCTGCTTCCCTTACTGATTCTCAACCCATCGGTCTCTGTGTGTTTCTTTCTCAGGCATTGGCTGACCAGCTCCTACATCCTGTTCGCTGTGCCGTACTTTGTGTATGACATCTACGCCATGTTCCTGTGCTACTGGTACAAGCTTCAGGTCAAAGGCCACGAGGTGGACAACGGCTCCAAATCCAAGGCTATGGCAGTGAGAGGCTACCTGCGGCGAGAGTTCCTCATGATCCTGCATCACGTCGTCATGGTCACCGTCTGCTTCCCCATCTCTGTGGTAAATAGGCTACGTTTTAAAAAAAACAGAAACTTTTAGAGAATCTGTTCATATTCAGATCTGCTCTCTTTCTCTTTCTCACGTTGTCTTCCAGTTCTGGAGGCAGGGAAAAGGCGATTACTTCCAGGGTGTCATGTTCCTGGCTGAACTCAGCACACCGTCCGTCTGTCTGGGCAAAATCCTCATCCAGGTACATTCATTATTGATTAGATGAGTGCTGTGGTATTTTTACCCTGATTCATCATTCTCTGCTTTAGCCTTAACAGTGTGTGTGTAACATCTCCAGTTATGTCGTACTTTAATACATTATTCATAGTGAAGTGTGTTTACAGAAGTGCTGACTTGACATATGCAAGCCTGGCCTGTTTCACAAAGACAACCTGAGACGAGTTTACAAAGACAAGTTCCAAAAAAAGAAAGAAAATTATGATATAATTTACTCTAATGTCGTTCTTATGTCAAAGCTTAAAAATTTTAAAAATATAAAAAATAAGGATAAAAAATTAAAAAAGTTTTTTTCTTGCAATTATGAGTTTATATCTTGCAATTCTGAAAAACAGGCTTAATTATGAGAGATAAAGTCACCATTACCTTTTATTTATTTATTTTTATTCCGTGTTGGAAACAAGCTTCCATATGTTCCATATATGAAAAAGAAGTGTGCTTAATTTTACTGAACGCGCACTTGTAGTGAACTTCAAATCTTATAAGTATATTTTTAAAAAGAGAGACACTTTCAAGATTATGCTTCTTAACACGCTTAAGTACACTATTAAAAAGTGCACATAGTAATAATGTCAAATTAAAAGTTTTACTTTAAAGTGCATTTTAAATCATGATGTTTTAATAACCTTTAATGCTTTTTTCAATGTGTTGGCTAACATACTAAAGCACATGTAAAGTACTTGATTATCATTTTAACAGTAGTGTTTTTTAATTTTAGATTTAAAGTTACTATGTTTTAAATGTACTGAATTGCAACTTCATCATAACAAATGTGTAATTACAAATATATTTAAATACATGACATACAGGT